AACATGCTCCTTTAGCTCCCTTCTGTTCTAATGATTGGTTGCCTCTTGCAAACAGAAGATATGATCAGTAGCAGGTGGGTGGGGCTTCTGTGCTGAGATGACCATATTTGGAAGATCCTCTCTTGCCAACTTTCATAATTAAGAGCAGAAAATGAATTAAGAGTAGCCTGAAGCCAGGGGTTTTGGTTCATGGGGATTTTTTTTTTCTTGAATATAGTCGTGTCTTCATTACTTGAACATTTCGGTCATGTTTAAGTAAGACTGAGGTGATGATCAGTGAGCAGTAGTGTGGCTTCATACTGGAAAAAGAGCTATACAGATGTGATATTTGCTTTGAGAGGTCAGGCAGGAGTGTCTGTGGACTCTTAACTGCAGATGACATTGTAATTGTACAGGTTAACACCTGTAGAGGGAGTAAAAGGTGGATGAGTCAATCGTTCAAAGCTATAGACAGTGCACAAGACAGGTGAAGGCGGGGTGGAGTGGGTGTAGAGGAGTGTCAGGGGTGATTTGTGACAAGGTTTACAAGATTGTAATGAGACCTGCTATGATGTATGGTCAGTGTCATTGTCTCCTGACAAAAAGACAGGAGGCCAAGGTGGAGGTGTGAACATTTTCACTGGTAGTGAGTAGAATAGACTGGAGGGGTGAGCAGTTTGGAGACAGTTATTATAGAGACATGCTTAAGATGGTTTAGACGTGCAGAGGACAGAGAGTGGACATATGGGACAAAGGATGCAAAAAGAATATCTCAGAGGAGTTTCAGGATATTAGAGATGGAGGCAGATGATCCACTGTGGTGACCCCGACAGGCAGCAGCCAAAACAGACACGAAACAAGAAAGCACGACGACTCCTCTTTGAATTTTGACCTAGCTACACAATCTGTGTGAGCAGAGAAAATATTTATTACAACATAATCATTACAGTAATGTTTTTTCCAACTTGTACAGATTCACGTAACAAATCTCTTACAGTAAAGTCAAATTTAAGTGCAAAACTTCTGATAGCAATAATGTATGTACAAAAACAAAAAAAAATCCCTCATTTCTCTACAGCAAACAGTAGCCACATTAGGGTAAAGAATTAAAAAAGCAGTAGTTTTCCTGTTCCCTTTTAACTGTTGTACAGTAATAGTACAAGAAGTACAGCAGGCAGTACATGTGGCAATCAGAAACTGATCCAAGTCAGACAAAATAAAGGTGAAGTGTGAAAACATCTCAATCTCAGCAGGTTTGTTGTAAAGAAAGAGCGAATGGGAGGGGAATGGACAGCATATTAAGACCAGCTTTTACATAAAAATAAATCTACAGCTGCATAGAAGCCGATCAGTGTGTGTTGTGAGGGGGGACGTTATGTGTGGCGCACACTCTGTTCACATGGCACGAGTGGCAGAGGAGGTGGGAGTCCAGAGGGAAGCACTGCGAGCCGGGCTTATCGGAGAGCTGCTTGCCGCACTCCTGAGGGTGGAAGAGAGGAGACGGGGCGAGGTCAGCTGTGGCTTCGCTTCAAAACAAAGTCAGAAACGTTAAGTCGTCACTTACCTCACAGTGGTAGCACTCAAAGTGGTAGTCTTTGTTCATAGACACGACCCTGAGGATGTCTTCACTGCCCTGAAACAGCAAACAGAGGTCAGCAGAGCCACGTTTCCAGTGCTTTCCTGCCTGTTCAGTGTCACACTGCTGTG